GCCACTAAGAATTTCACATGACACCACTACACAAGTAAGATAATTTTTCCTCTCATTTCATTTCTTTTCTCTTAAAGCCCTAAGTTTGTTGGTGGTTCACTGAAAAATAGTTGGTTTTTGTTTTACAGTTGGGAAAGAGATTGTGGGTTTATTAGGTCATATTTGGTTCCAAAGTCTTGTTGAGTGAGATAGTTTTTCACTAACCAATATCACTCGCATTTTTCATCTCATATTCTAGGAAACATACTTGCTTATTTCTCTAAAATGTGTTTGTGGCACTTGTGACAAAATTTGGGGNCTTAATTTGTTTATATTTCTTTTGTTGTAGTAAATGGTAAGATTTGCTTGCAAATTTTGTTTTTATATTATAGCAAAATTGAAACTTTAATTGCCCGTTTTGGAATTATTGGATTTGGAATTTTGTTTCGGCATTGGACTTGACAACGTTAGGTCATGTGTATACATTTTCTTTCTTTTGAATTTTATCTTTTGAGCAACCTATATTGTTGTGTNTTTTGGTAGTTTGGATAAACATGGTTATGATAATTGTGGTGATATGTATAATTGTAAGTTTTATAGACAGGTTTAGATTTTTTTTGGCTTATATTTTTAGAGGAAACTCTGCCCAAATTTCTTGAAACTAGTAGGGATTAGTTTGATGTTTTGGTGGTTGGATGTGTTGATAATTGGGTATGTATTTATTGTTGTGGTAGTATGGTGAATTNTGTGCATTGAATTTGTCCAATGAGTTTTTACTAAATAATTGCACCAAGCCAAGGAAATTGACAAAAATATTTGCACCGGTTATAGGGGCATGGGTTGGTAGAGGCTGGCTATAAGCTTGGCATTCTAATTGTACCACGCATGATGATTTTCTTCATTGGTTTGACAGTTANGATTTTTTTGGGCTTCTATTTTTAGAGGAAACTCTGCCCAAATTTCTTGCAATTAGTAGGGATTAGCTTGATGTTTTGGTGGTTGGATATGTGTTGATGATTGCGTATGTATTGATTATTGTGGTGGTATGGTGAATTATTGCAAGTTTTATAAACATGTTTAGATTTTTTTGGGTTTCTATTTTTAAAGAAAACTCTGCCCAAATTTTTTGAAATTAGTAGGAATTAGCTTGATGTTTNATGTTTCATTTTTTCCCATATGAATGATAAAACTAATAGTAGTTTTTCAATAAGCTCGGAACTGCATATTACAAATCACCGCTTGTTGCCGAAAAACTCATTACCAGCAANTTTGAAATTAGTAGGAATTAGCTTGATGTTTTAGTGGTTGGATATGTGTTGATGATTGAGTATGTATTGATTATTGTGGTGGTATGATGAATTATTGTAAGTTTTATAAACAAGTTTAGATTTTTTTGGGCTTCTATTTTTATAGGAAATTCTGCCCAAATTTCTTGAAATTAGTAGNATTGTGGGTTTATTGGGTCATATTTGGTTCCAAAGTCTTGTTGAGTGAGATGGTTTTTCACTAACCAATATCACTCGCATTTTCATCTCATATTCTAGGAAACATACTTGCTTATTTCTCTAAAATGTGTTTGTGGCACTTGTGACAAAATTTGGG